CCCCCACCGCCACTGGCGGGAGCGGCCCTGGTAGCATGCGCAGGCAGTCAAGCGCGCCGTCCAGCCCGTCTGACAGCGCGCAGAGCCGCGTCACTGCCTCTGCAAGCAGCTGCAGCTCTGAAGGCGGTGGAGAAGGGCGCCTGCCCCCTTCCCTGGCTCCAGCCTCAACTGCAGCAGCAGCAGTCCCGCCGCCAAGCGCCATGGCCAGGCTTGCGAGACCAAGTGAGTCGCCTTCGTCGGCGAGCTTCGAAACCCAAGCCGCAGACGCGGTCGCCCGCAGGCGCGCCACGAGGCCAGCGCGGCGGGCGGGCTCGGCGCCGGTGATGCGCGCGCTGGGCGGGCGCCTGAGGAAGGCCTGCAGGAGAGAGGTCGAGCGCCCGCGTCGGATAAAAACACGAAAGCTACGGCGCTAGAAAAGCACATTGTGGAACCAGTGGGCGCAAACACAGCCATGCAGAACGAACACCTTCGCGCATGCCTGCTTGCTTGTATCAGCACGCAGGACGCGGCAGCGCGTGATGCACGACGTGCACACAAACACGCACACGCACGCACGCATGCATGCACGCACGCGCGCGCGCGCACACATACACACACACACACACACACGCACGCACACACACAAACACGCACACACACAAACACGCACACGCACGCACGCACGCATGCACGCACGCGCGCGCGCGCACACACACACACGCACGCACACACACACACACATGCGCGCGCACACACACGCACACACCCGCACACGCACGCACACGCACACGCACACACACGCACGCACACGTACCGCACGTCCATGCACAGGCATATGCATGCATGCTCGCCCACGCACAGACACAGACCCTTCCCGCACACTAGCTGGACATGCACGTGGTTCCCCTCACCAAGATGTTGAGCAGCTTGCCGCTCTTGCCGGGATTCAACATGACTTGGTACAACCGCTCAAATTGCACACTGCTTGAAAGCGGCCCGTGCTGCAGCAACAGATCCAAGCGCGCCACATCGTCCTGGACTGCAAGGATGGCAGCTGACAAGTCCAGGATTTCAGCGCACGAGCGCAAGCCTGCGGCTCGCGCCTCTCCAGACTTGAGCCCGCGCGGCGCAGCGGCGGCGGCGACGGCCTGGTGGGCAGCCTCAAAAGCCGCAAGGCACTCGTCCAGGGCCGGGCACAGATAGCAGGTCGCGAACGTCGAAAAGCACTGCAGCACGAGCCGCTCCCACTCGCTGAGGCCGCCCGTAGCCGCGTCCTCGCGCAGCGCAGCCTCGGCGGCATGGACGAGCCACGGCACCACCAGGGCGCCTTTGCTGCACGCGCAGATCGCACAAGCCTCAAAGATGCCCGTGCTGATGAGGCGCCGCGCCTTGATGACGGGGTCCCTTATCAAAAAAGGCAGCGTCGACAAGGCCAGCGCCATGCACGAACCCGCGTGCAGTCCGCCGCTGGTGAGCACGTCGCCTAGGGGGTCGCCAGGCTCGGCGCGCGTTGGCCTCAGCAATGTTTTCGGCACGTGACGCATGAATTGCGGAATATGCGTCTGCAGTCGTGCGCGCGGCTCCAAGACCCATCTGCGGGCGCGACAGACAACAGTGTCAGAGAGGCGCGCCCAATGCGGAACAGGGCGACAGACCAGATGCATGCGGCTGTGTTTGCCCAGCATGCGGTCAACCACCTCTACACTAGAATCAGCAAACGACGCACCTGGCCTTGCCAACTGGCAGGGACGACGAGCCGGGCGTGGGTCGCAGCAGCCGCTCCGCCAGGGCGTCACGACAGCCGCCGCTGTATTGCCGCACGTCCACCTCAGCGGCGATGTACTGCCACCTGGGGGATGCATGGGTTGACACACGCGCGCACGGACGGCAAGGCAGCCGCAGTCGTAGCGTGGCCGACAGGGGGCATTGCTGGCTTGGCATCGCATCCACAAGCTTTCATCGACTCCGTCGAAAGAGCTGCAGCTATGAGCACATGGGCAGGACCTCACCAGGGGTCCTCCCCCGGGCCGAGGGATTCGGTGTCGCCGCAGTACATGAAGTAAAAGACCATGGCACAGCCTTTCGGCGCTGCTGGGACGGCGAGGAACTTGCTTATAGAGTATGGGGACGGAAAACGCTGGTAGGAGCCTAGACCTGCCGACACCTGCACGTGTGGGGCAGGTGTGGTGGCTTGCACGCAGGCATTTTCAGAGTGGCTGTCAGGTGGCAGCTGGCTCAGCTGGTAAACGCATGTGAACGTTAAGGCTGAGCGAACGCGTGGCAGCTCACTGGGAATGCAAGAGTGGATCTCAAAAAATGACAGCTGGCAGGCAAAGCTTTGGACACACAAGGGGAGTTATACACGGACATACAATCGCAGCAAGCACCACTTTCAGCTCTCAAGATGATAGATCAGACCTCCCCGCAGCCCTTAACGCACCCCAGGCAGCACCGGGCGCCAGGAGCGCGCCTCCACCGCCGCCAGCGTGGCCGCCCAGGCCGCCGGCCCCAGGGTCCCGCCCTGGAACGGCGCTGCGCCCGCCTCCTCGAGCTGCAGCACCATGAAGCGCTGCACCAGACACTGGTAGTGCCTGGCAGCAATGAATGTGGGGAATTTGCCTTAACCAAGACAGTCTGGGGGTCTCGATGTGGAGTGTAGGCGGGGCGGGCAGGGCCGCAAAGGGGTGCACTGACGGCGAAGAGCGCAGCTGCTGGTGTTGTTGTTACGCAATCACGTCAGCACCTGCTATGCCCTTGTACCTCTGCAGCGCAGCAGCCTGAGAAGCTGGCCGCGTGTGGGTTGCTAAGCTGACCACCTCGCTGACGCGCGAATGTGAACATCCGCACCTGCTCAGCCACACGGCATGGCTGACGCCCAGCAGCTGCTGGGGGTCATGGCCCTCCCCGGCCAGCTGCATCATGTCGCGCCACATGAAAAAGAACGGGCGGCAGGCGCTGTTCTGGTGCACCTCCTGCAGGACGCCGAGCGAGTGCGCGGCAGGGGTGCGTTGAAACGGGTGTGGCAAGCGTGGTCGACACCAGTGTGCGGCGGGTTCGTCCAGCAATAGGAGGTTGATCGACTGAGGTGGGGCACAGCAGATAGCAGCTCAGCAGCAAGACGTGAGGCGATACCACCCTGTCAATGTCACCCTCAATACTGCCACTCAATCAGACTGAGCTGCCTGCCGCTAGCAGGCCTCAGCCGCCCACCTGTATGCCGTTGCCACCCTGGCCAACTGTTGTGGGTCCAAACCACACACGCAGCGCCCCCCGCGCCCATCCAAGCGCGTCGTCGATATTCCCCCGCCGGTGGTGAAATTTGGACAGCGTGCAGAGGGCATCAAAGGCGACAAGGGAGGACGTGTCTTCTGAGTAGGTCGAACCCGACGGAGTGTCTTTGCGCCAGTCGCCCGGCGGCCTCACCACGCCGTCACAGCTCTCCATCAGCTCGGCCAGTGATCCCATGGCCTGCGGCCCATGGGCGTGCGTTTGCTGCGCACTCGGCGCGTCTCGCCCGCCGGAAGCGGAACAGACAACACCCCAGAGCAGGCTCGCAATGCCGTACCCTATCCGTGCACGTTGTGATGCAAACAGCGACACGCACCGCTTCATCGTCAGGCGCCACCGAGGTCAGATCCAAAGCAAGAAGGGTGCCCAAGGCCTGCGCTGCGGCCCACATCACAGTCGGCTCGATGTTCGCCATTTTGGGTGTCCACCGGGCCGCACGACCCAGCACGTCCGCCACCTGGTTGAGACAAGGGTGCATGTGTGTGTGCCAGACTGCCGTGGCAAGGCCTGCAGCCAATGCAAGCATGCCCTCAGGGCAGATGCCAACGGAAGTACGCAAACTGCGTAAGCAAAACAGTGGGTGAGGCGAGCCAGTGGTGTTGACAGCCAAGTCAGCCCGCAACCCGCAGTCAAGGGCGTGGGCACGACAGGCAAAGGGCAACCGGGCTTGCGGGTGCGCCGCAAGCACACCTGCCGGAGCTCCACCTCAGCCGTGCGCATGACGCATCCGCTGCTGCCGTCACCGTCGCCCACCGCGCCTAGCAGCACTCGGCGCCAGGTCAGCGCCGCCGCCGCCCCCACGGCTTCCGCAACCAGTGCCTGGGGTAGCCGCGCCTGTGCCTCGGATCCTTCACACACAAAGAGCTGGTGGGCCAAATCCGGCTGCATTGCCGACCATTCGCAAGCCCTTGCGATGTGCTGCTGTGGCGGCCTGCCGAAGGGCGCTGCACCCTCTGTACAAGCAGCCAGCGCCCAAGCACGCGAGAGTCGGGACGTGAAAACCAGCGCATGCCTGCAAAATCGCACAACACGGCGGATGGCGTGCGGATGGTGCAGTCATGTAATGTCAAGCTTGCTTGTTGATGGGCGCACAGGTGTTTGCTAACAGCGCTCAACTGTTTTAGCCACCAGACTTCAGACACAGATAGTCTGGCTTTGGCTCAACCCCCAACAGCCGCCTGCCCGTTGCCCGACAGCCCGCGCACGCGAGCGCCCCGCCCCCCGACCTGATGCCTTCTGCAGTCAGGAAGCAGTCCGGCACATCGTCCGGCGGCGCCAACCGGCCTTCGAGCGTGGCTGCCAGGGACAAGGACAGCAGCTGAGCGCGCCCGTCGTCCGCCTGCACCCCAAACAGTGCCAGCGGGTCGTGGAGCAGGATGGTATCACCTTTGCCACTTTCGTTCAGACCCGCCTTTTCAAGCTCCTGGACAAATCCAATGACAAAGCGGTAGGCCGCGCCGCCGCCGTCGCTGTCCCCAAGCGGGCCTGCGCCCCTGGCGCCAGCGGCGGCGACCGCCTCGCAGCCGTCTGCCAGGAAGGCGTTGGCGCAGCGCTGCAAGTCGGCGTAGGCGTCGAGCACGGCGGTGCCGCGGCCGCCGATCAGGCCACGGGACAGCAGGGTGCTGCGCAGGGTGGTGCCACGATCTTGCAGCTTGGCAGCGAGCGCGCGCAAGCCCTCCGGGCCCAGGCCCTGTCCCGGGGCAGCTGCGGGGGGCGCCGGGGCTGGTTCACCAGACTCGGCGGCGGCGCTGGTGCGTGCAAGCTGCAGTTGGTTCGTGAGCTGCCCAGGAGGCACAATACGCGGTCCTAGGCTGCTGAGGCGCCCGCCTGGCTCAGCGGCAGGGGCGCTGACCGGCTCGCCATTGGAGGGGACGGCACAGCGATGGTGGGCAGCGATTCGTCGGGCGGCGGCGGGCCACCGCATTCTCCAGCCTTTTGCTGTTGAAGGCTGGCACGACACACCTAAGCATCTGCGCTGGCTCAGCAGCACCCTGGGCGACAGACACCGAAATGACTCTGGATCTCACAGCCGTGCGAAGCACGGGCATCGCGCAGACTGTACCATGTAATACGATACGACTACTGATATCAGTTGCCCAGCCTTGCGATCATGATATGATCCCAAGAGACAGGCAAGCAGACACCTGTTGTGTGTGCGTCAGCTTGTCACTCCTTGTCACCTGCCGGACAACTTTTGTCCACGCACTCGCTTTCAAGCAGCGGGGGAGGGCAGGGACGAGTGTGGCGGCATGCGCCGCACATCCCTCTGTCCCCAGAGGGATGTGCGCACCACGCTGCTAGAGACTTTGCTACACGAGCAGCCACACAGCAATGCCCGCATGGCCATGCCTTTGCCATGGCCATGCCTTTGCCCTGCTCCGTCCCCAACCAGACCGCCCCCAATGCCCGCCCCCCGTGTGGCCGCCTCCACTGACTGCCTATGGCCCTCAATCCCACGCGGCGGCCCTCCCATCCGTGCGGCCTGTTTACACTGTGCCAAACGAGCATGCGATGACTGTTTGCTACTCAACTCAGCGATGCCGGTCAATCTGGGCGACTGCCTTGCGAGAATCCGGCAAGGTGTCGTGCGTGTTGTGTCTGTGTTGAGTAGCCAGAACCAGGTGTCTGCCAGGTGTCTGCCCGACACTCCTGCGGCATTCCTGGGGCCAGGCGCAGCGCTTCTAAAGCGCACACGGAAAGCGCCTCTGGCAATTGCCAAAATGGCTGGAAAGTTGCGATGGAGCCGGCCTCCCTCAAGTTCAACCCTGAGATGACTTCACAGCTGCCCAAACGACACGCCTTTTGAAGCGCCTGTATGCCGTGCCTGGCTCAGGTTCAGCCAGGCAAGTCAGCGCTGCAAAACGCCGCGAGGCAACAGCAAGTCACGAGCCTGGCTGCTCCGCATCCATGCTGCGCCAACCGCCCCGCAGCCGAATTTATGGCAGCCCACCCCCATCAAACGTACTGTGCCTGCGACGCTCTGTGGCCCTGTTGAGTGTGGCATGCGTCAAACATTCTCATCATCATCCAGCAATCCAACCGGCCACGCCCGCCGCACCGCCCCCCGCCCCCGTCACCGCCGCAAAAGTCACTGTGAAGGCCTCTCCCCCGAGGCGCACGCCTCACGAACGCGGCCGAGGCGACCGGAGCCCTCTCAGATCTGCCTGACGCAATCAAACGCCCCACACAACCTATTTCCGCCCCCCGCTGGCCCCCCTGCGCCCCCCCGGTGGCGCCAACACTCGCCCCCCCTCCCGGTTGAAAGTGTGACCCCAACCCACAGTTGTTGGTTGGGACTCAGGCACGCATTGGGATGGTGCAAAGGTTGGATTGCTACGGCGCAAGCCGCTGAGTTGCAACGCCGCCTTGGGCATCACGCGGCATGCGGCGCCAATCTGCGGTTCGGAGGTTTTGATGGTTTTGACTTGACGCATCGCGAGAGCCATTGCTCCTGGCGCTCTCTCGTCAGGCGCCTGGCTTGTGCGGTGCGCCGACCGCGCCCAGCCCCC